ATTGTTGGAGCTGTTTTTACACATTGCCTTGACGGCTGCCTGTGTAGAATATCTCGTTGCTAAGTCTGGGTTTAATCCATCCGAGATATATGCTCCTTCTAGTGATCTGGTAATTTTTTCTATTTCCGCTGTGTATTGGTTAGCAGTTTTACTACGTTGTTGAACGTTTAGAAGTTTAGCGGTTAAAACCTCTACCGATTCACCTTTTATCGCGTTTTTGAGTTTTGTTTTTATTTGTCCAATCGTGTTTTCATTACTGATGAAGTTTCTTGCCGTTCCTTTTAGCTTGGTCTTTGTCATTGTTATTGCTAAAAGTTCGTGCTCATCCTTGATTTGATCAAGTATGTCGAGGGCATCTAAGAAGCTGTGTAAGTTTTCTGGCTTCCCATCAAACTCTGGGAGTACTGACGAGGCGGTTTTAATGAATTCGACTACTGTTTGTACCATTGTGACGTTTATGGTTGGGATGTTTACTTTTTTGGTGTCTTCCCCTTGACTTAAGGAGGGCGATGGAGTCCGGCTTCGGACGCGTTCTGACAGAAGTAAGTTAAAATCAACCTGGAGATTCTCCTCTAATGTGGTTGGTATTGTTACTTCTATATTGTGTCTAGCTAACGAAGATACAAGTTTATCTCGTACTGCAATGAAAAATTGGTAAGCTTCCTTTTGGTGTTCTGTGGTAAGTATGCGATTTGCTACATTGATCACCTGTCTAATGTTATTAAGGGCTTCCAAGATTATGTTCAAATGTTTTACTATAGTTTCCGTTGTTATAGGAATACTCTTATTTATACATTTGTATGATTTACTAGCTTTAGTTTTTTCGTCAGTTAATGTGTCATGGATTTCTTTCCATTGATTCATTTCTGGTTTAAAACTTTTGGCATTTTTGAAAGTTGTTTCTTTTTATTGAGAGAGTTATACGCGTTGTTGTACATTGTTTAATTGTCTCAATTTGTTTTTAATGTAATTTTTTATCAAGATTACCATTGCGACAATTAAACATGTAGCTACGCATGCAAAAGCGGTCAACCACTTATCGGGAACTTCTTCCTTGTTTTCTACGATAGGATGTGGTTGATATTTAATTACTTTAGTTTCGTAGGTGTTTTCACCTGAGGTTTCTTTTCCTACTTCGTATCCTGCTATTCCTATTAATATGCCGTTTAGTGCAATTTTCCACCAAGTCATTTTTATGTTAATAATATTTTACGGTTGAAAAAAAAAATGAATGAGAAAAACAATTTTCCTTTTTATTATTAGTTCTTGTTTTTTAATTTAATAAAAAAAATTTTTTTTTTGTATTTTTATTAGTTATAGCTATCTTATTTGTGCTAACATTCTCCTTGTTTCTTCTTCCCTAGTTTTTGGATTTATGACGTCTACTAAGGTGGTTTCCCTGTTCATACTATAAATTTCCTAATGATCCTTTTGGTGGTTCTGCGTTGTTGTTGTTGCTGGGTTCCACCCATTTTTGTGCAGATCTTTTAGCTTGGTTATCAACTTCTTCTTTTGTTGCCCGCGACTGATGTTAATTATTCGCTGTAGTTCTGCACATTCTTTTTGGTGCCTTCGCTTTCTACCTCCACGTTTTTTGGGTTTATGTTCGCAGCTTATTCGTTGCCTAAACTCTTGTAAGTTAGCTTTTTGGCGGTTTTGCCTTTGCCGGTATTCCTCTAGGGATATTGGTTTGGGTCCTATTACAATTTTTGTAGGGATGTATTTGGGGTATTCTTCTGCGTTTTTCGATCCTTCCGGAACGTATTCCTCTACCATAATGTACTGGCAGGGTCTTGATAGAGTTGGTAGGGTCTAGATTTGGGTTGGTAGGATCTAGCTTTGAGCTGGCAGGATCTAGCTTTGAGCTGGTAGGATCTAGCTTTGAGCTGGCAGGATCTAGCTTTGAGCTGGCAGGATCTAGCTTTGAGCTGGCAGGATCGCCATATAAATATTGGAAGGAGTTTAGTATTTTCTTAGCTCTACAGCCGCATTTAGGTGAGCATTAAAATGCCCCACAATGATTCCAAAAGTAAAACGCAAGTAAAAACGTTGAGTCTTAAAGTTGGAATGTTTTATTCGGCTCATCGCCGTTCTTTATATGCTTACAATCTACCTTATGAGTATTCTAATTTACAAACTTACATTTCTAAGTTGTTAGTCATGCTTATGATTCTACGTTGTTGTGCATGCATACATAAATGTATATGGGTTCAATCGAGTTTATGTTATTGGAGAAGTGCAGCGCAAGCTAAATTCATTTGAGTACTTGGCCTAGTTATTGCCAAAAGTATATTGAACTTTTTACTTAATATTGTGTGAACATTTTGTTTTGCTTAGCTGTCATGCTACACTACTGAAAAATATTGGCGAAAAAGACAAAAAACACACTTTGTGAAGTATACTTCTTTATCCAGCTTTTTATAAAACAACAAGAAGTCTTCTAATTTATCCGATTCCTTTTAATAGGTGCAGCAAATCTAGAGAATATAATCAATGTGCCGTAAATAACTTCGAAAGCATTTTAAATATATTTCCAGAAATCAAAAGCGCGTATGGGTCAAATAGCTGTAGTTCTCATCTAAAAATATAAAATTTGAAGACATCCTAGACACTGGACTGTAAGGATGAATAAAGGCTGGTTTCCACAATGTAATATTTTGACAACAAAATTTTTTGACTTATTTTGACACAACTTTCTTACCTTTATCGATGATATTATTTATCCGATTCCTTTTAATAGGTGCAGCAAATCTAGAGAATATAATCAATGTGCCGTAAGTAACATCGAAAGCATTTTAAATATATGTATTTCCAGAAATCAAAAAGCGAGTATGGGTCAAATAGCTGTAGTTCTCATCTAAAAATATGAAATTTGAAGACATCCTAGACACTGGGCTGTATGGATGAATAAAGGCTGGTTTTCACAATGTAATATTTTGACAACAAAATTTTTTGACTTTCTTTCCTTTATCGATGATATTATGGGCCAAAAACTTACAAATAGCCGCCTTAGCAGCGCATGTACACGCCTGAAGGCCTATTCTGATCTAAATCAAACCAAAGACCATTTTTTAGTCCCATTTGACAATGCAGGCCTATTCTGATCTAAATCAAACCAAGGCCAGTTTTTAGTCCCATTTCACTCATTTGACCACAAATGCCACTGAATTTGACTTAGTGAAAATAAGCGTTAAAAGTAATAGAAAAAATTACGAAGCTAAGTAAAGTGTTAATTTTTCGTAGTGCCAGCTCTAAATGCAATGTAAAATGTTTAAGATAATACATAATATGGTTTTTTTATGTCTTCCTTTTGACCACTTTTCTCTAGAATTGTTTATTCTTCAAAATGAAAGCGAAACTTCTCCCATACCTACAAGTAAATATATTAGCACGGTAAAGGAAAAAAACTAATAATGCATCTGATCAAAAGATGATTGTACCTAAAATCTAGTGACTGTACTTAATGTACCTTTAAGTCATCAAACGTCGGAAAAAGGTACAATTGTACCTACTTTTTCATCCCTGACGTGTACACACATTTCTTGAAATATCAGCAACTCTTATCGCTTCCGTATACACATGCACATTCGCATACAAATGCATGTATGTACATATGTGCATTCGCACTCTCAGCAAAAATGCAATGCCTGCAACAAAAACAATACTAGTAGTCAGTTGCATGAAGAAAATCATTTGAGACATGCACACAAAAAGGCTGCAACACGGATTAAAAAAAAATTAAAAAAAAGCTGAATCTTCAACAAAATGGATGATAGCGACAGTGAAAGCGAAAAGTGGGCCAAAGGCGACAAAGAAAATCTCTGCGAATAAATTAAAAAGGAAAAAAATCCTGTGTGTGTGTGCATGTGTAGAGGTTAAAACTTTTCCCAGCGCTTCGATTCAAAGAACATATGGATGTGCTTACAGACATAGATACTTAGTAATGGTAGCAGTATAGTCATACATAAATACATACATATAAGTGTATGTATGTATGCGTATATACATAGATGCAATTCAATTAGTGGCAATTTAAAAGTGAATGAAGTACTTGCCCTAACCACTATTACTTCATACACTTACACATTTTTTTACGCTTCCACTTTCAACGATTTTTCGCAAGTAGGTGGTGAATTTTTTTATAAGCGAATTCTACTTTTTGAAGAGCTTAATAGACTAGCTTTTATATTAAAAAAAGAAAAAAATAATTTTTTGATACATAAAGGAAATGTTCATTTATTTCAAAAGGAACTATTAATATTAAGAAAATTAAAGCGACCACTATTACTTCATACAGTCAACGTAACTGAACTTTAATACTGTGTAACGTCCCCCTTTGTATTTATTACGGCATTCAGTCTAAGATGCATAGTTTTAGTTAGTGATACACATTCAGTTGGAGTTATAGAATCCCAGATTTCACTAATTTTTGCCTTTAAGCCATCAATAGTCCTCTGGGGGTCATTTCGAAGTCTTCTCTTCAATAGCGCCCATAGAGACTCAATAGAATTAAGGTCCGGACTGGAAGCAGACCAGTCTAAAACAGGTATATTGTTACTGAGAAACCAGTTTTTGGTCAATTTAGCGGTATGAGGCGGAGCACCATCTTGCTGAAAAATATATTCGTCTGCTGTAGACAGATTGGGTATACTAGGAAGCAAATTTGTCTCCAAAATATTGACGTAATCCATGGCTTTTATAGTCCCATCGATAAAATGAAGCTTTCCTACTCCTTTTGAGGACATACAACCCCATACCATGACACTCGCTGGGAACTTTACCGCCCTTCTCAAACAGTCTGTATGATATGCTTCATTTCTCTTTCGTATTACACGAGTCCTTGAGTCGCCTACGCAAACATGGAACTTAGATTCGTCGCTAAATATGACGGAGTCCCATTGTCTTTGGACCCACAATCGTCTAGCTTTACTCCAAGCTAATCTTTTTTGCTTTTGACGGACTGTTAGTAACGGTTTCCTCTTTGCCTGTTAATTGCAACATAAATTTGTTAGGATTCTGAAATGCATCACACTCGAAACCCTACCTTATAAAAATTATATTTCAACTTATGCAGCTGCAACCGGGTCCACTCACGTCCTACATGTTTACCAATCTTCTGTGACCATGCAGCAGCCAAGTTTCTTACAGAACTCCGCCTATTTTGTTTAATAATGTTGCTTAATTGCCGAATATCGCGGTCGGAAATCACTGATTTTCGACCTCCCACGTGCTCTTTTGGCAAAATCTGTCCAGTTTCGTTATAATTTCTAATTATACTTTGCACCGTAGGAGTTGGAACATTAACTTCTCTTGCAATTTCGCGATAACTTTTCTTAAATTTGTATTTATCAATAATAAATTCACGAATTTCTTTGCAAAGGGCTTTTCCGCGTGCCATTATGAAATTCAAAACTGAACAAACTGCTCGCCAATAATGCACAAACTGATTACAAGGTCACGGCGTGCTATAAAATTGAATTTTTTAACGATACCCCTTACAAAGCTTACTGTATGAAGCAAAAGTGGTCGCCTTTGTTTTCTTAATATTAACAAGTCTTTTCGAAATAAGATGATATTTCTTTTATACGTAGAAAAATTTAATTTTTCTTAGTTTGTTCTAAAACTGATAAATCGAGCTATCTAAGAAAACATAATTAGCTTATAAAAAGATCCATAGCCTACTTATGAAAAATCTATAAAAATAGCGGTGTACAAAAATGTCCAAGTGTATGAAGTAATAGTGGTTAGGGCAAGTAGTCGAGGAAAAACCTGTTCTTACAGCTGACAGCTGCTGCTGTTGCTTCAACGAAGAAAAATAGCTGACAAGTACGCGGATTTTGTGCATTAAATGGTAGAAAAAGCAACATATTTGTATGAAATAAAACATACTACATATAAGGGATTTAAAGTTAAAGCCGTATTTGTATGAAATTTAAAAGAAGCTTAGTTTGCAGTTAACAATGCTATATCTATATGTATGTGAATTGAAGGTCTACTTAACAGAGTAAGAAATTTTATTTTTTGAATTTTTAATTGCATTTTAATTTGCATTTTAATTGACCCAGTGAGAACCCCAGGGTTTATCGTGAGAATTGTCATTTGTCAAAATCTGTCGATCGGTTATTGTTTTTTTATAGAAAACTAGCAAATACTCGGCGTGTTTTACTACGCTTTAAAGCAATTTTTAAGTTGCTACTCCTTCCTTAAACTTTTATGGACTCATTCATAAAAAGTACAATAGAGTTAAAGAGCTTTATGAAGCGAGATTTTCAAAAAAATTTTCGATTTATGCACGATTCTTTATTTTATTTTAAATATGGGTGTTAGTTAATACATTTTCGAAGGTATTTAAAAAGTAGGTAGGTATTATAACTCGAGTCTACATATCGCGCTCATTCTTCAAAGGTGCACTAATTAAATATTTACCTAATCTTATCAATTTAACTGAATTCAATTTTTCAAATAGGTTCCTAACCGCTTCAAATATATGTTCGAAAGTAAACTTTCGTTAACCTTCTTAGTTTAACAACAATATTGTAATATTTCATTTAACCTGTCACTTTAAAAATAAGATTTTTCAAACAGGTTGTAATCTCCCTCAAAAATATTTTCGGTAGTAAATTTTCCTAAAACTTTTAGTTTGATACCCATATTGCAATATTTAATTTAACTTATTAATTAAAGTAAATTGTAATTTTCAAACAGCTGGTAGCCTTCCACATTTTTTCGGCTGTAAGCCTTCTTAGCCCTCTTTCTTTTAACAGCTATATTTTGTAATATTTAATTTATCTTATCAATTTACCTAAACTGCAATTTTCAAACTGGTGGCAAGTCTGTATTATTATTATTTTCTTTATTTTAAGTTAGACCTCAAGCAATATGTCGGTGGAAACTTCATTCGATTCCATGCATTTGTTTTCGAGTGATGCGCGTACAAACACACAGACAGACAGACTGACGATGATTCTAAAATATGTTGATTTGGATTCTGTCGCTTTATTAAAGACCCCCTTCATTAATTTGCCTTAATATCTATAATGTACATTTATCGGCCTGTCGCACTTTTATTAAAGGTACAGATAACCACCTGTGGATTTATTTTCATTTAAGTAATTAATATGAGTAAAATAACTGTTTCTGTCGAATCCTTACTGAATCTTCACAAGGCAGCCATAATTTGAAAGTGCAAATTTTGCCACCCGGACTCTCCAGAGAGTTTACAATTAACAGCGAGCATCTCAGCGCTTTCAGCTACAGCCACAAGATATAAGAGTGGTAATGTTGGGAAATTGTTTTATTGACCGGAACTCATTCTCGATAAAAATTTCTAGACAATACCATTCTGTGATCGATCAAACAAACCTCTTTTGTTCTCGCTCGCTACGTTCCGCTACTAAGGAAGTTACTGCATTTCAGCGAGCCCTAGTCCAACCAAGCATAGTTACCAGTCCTTGATCTTCTGTGGTCTTTTCATCGCAGAGAAGGCCTTCTTCTTTCCAGCAGCTTTATTGTTCTTGAGTCGCGTATTTGCATGCGCACCTCTTCATCGTCAGGCAGTAGGACCTCGCTTCCGTCGTCATCGACTGGGGGTGCGGGTTCATCCTTTTCGCTAAGAACAGTTTTCCATCCTATGGAAATCGTATAGATATTCAATTGCATGCAGCGTTAAACACAAATTTCAATTATTGCTTTCCCTTGAAGATGTATAATAGAAATATTTTACTTATTTTTAATGCCCTTTTTCATTATCTCATTAAGGTTTAAATTTACATGTCGACTATTTTATTGTACAACATAAATACCTTTTACTGCATTGATTTAATTTAGCTTCTAATTTAGCATTTAAATGTAAATATCGGATTTTTAACGCAATGTTGCAAATCGTAATTTGCGACGTAAAAATGAGATTTACTTCCATAATTATTACCAGTAAATATGAATTAAAGAATTACAATTGAAACAATTGATTGAAATTGCATTTAATAATTATTGTCGCCTACAGATGTTAAACATAAAATCTAAATTTCGTAAAAACAACTCGCCAATGCGAATGTTATTTATGGGAAGTGAAACTTTTTCACGCATCAATTTTGATAAACCACGAATAACGATGCTGCAAATGAAATTGAAATATTTTAATAATACATACATATGTATATGTATGTCATATGAGCGCTCCTTTATTTATTCTTTTCAATAACATGCATATAAAAAAAAGAAAAACAACAAACAGCAAAAGACAAAAAATATCATATTGCATGCAGTAAAAATATACGCGGACGTTCATTGATGATTTCCATAAAAAATAACGCATCGTGCGGTGGACAGAGAATTGAAACTTCAAACAACTGCGAAAATGGAAAATCTTTTGATGAGTGCGAAAATAATAAAAACTTTTTTGCAAATACATACATATATACATACATATGTATGGAAGTACCTTAGGGTGTAACACCAAAAACAAAGTTACGGGTTTTCCACCAGAATTATAAAGTTAATTATATTTTAAGACTTCCGCCAAAATATGGGAAAATATTAAGGTTTACGCGAGCTAGAACGATTTCAAATTAGTATATACTAATCTCATTTATTATTCTGATTCCGTTGATACAATTTTTAGGCATTTTTATGTAGACCTTTTAAGCTTAAGCTCTTTTAACATTTGAGGTGATAAACACAAATTTAAACTCTAATTTTATTTATAAAAAACTCGATTTTTTGAGATATTTAATATTTTCCCCATATATTTGGCGGAACTCTTAAAAGACTGCGCCAGGCAATTTTACACAAACGAAATCAATATATTCGCGAAACTAGGAACCAAAAATAGTAAAAGTTCGTTATTACTTTTTCTCTCTGACGTCAGGATTTTTTAAAGCACTTTAAAATTTCAAAAACATGATTAGCTCAAAAAATTATTTAAAAAATTTTGTGCAAAGTGGAATAATAATACACAAGTATCCAATAAAAGAGAAAGCTCTGTAGAACTAAAAAAGATTAAATTTTTTTGGTGCACTTGGACGAATAGGTATTGAAAATTTAATTTTAAAATTTTGTCCTTGAATATCCTTGAAAATTTGAAGTGCATATTTTGAAAAAAAAAAAATATGTTAAGGACTAATATACATATGACCACATTCTCGAATTTCGTCCTTCTAACTTTATTAGCTAAAAGAAAAATTAATTAAAAGGGTATTTTCAGTGCCTATTCGTCTTTGTAAAAAAAAAATTCAAGTTTTTTTTAGCTCCACAGAGTTTTCCTTTCATTTGGTATCTGTATTATTTTTCTACTTTGAAATAACTTTTTTTTAATTAAAAAAATAATTATTCAAAAAGGCATTGGCTTACAAAACCAGCTGTATATAAAAATACCCATACACACACCATATTCGTTTTGCAATTGGTATTTAATGCAATTTCGGCTGCAAGCAAACAATTGAAAATCCTCGAAGCGTTCATGTACTATATACTAGGGTGTTCGATTATTCGTTTTTTTTTTCAAAAACCGGTTTGCGAATTATTCCCCCATTTTCAAATTAAGTAACAACCGGTTTTATTTTACATAATTTCTCTATAGGAAAAAAAAAATGTTAGTCAGAAATCACGACCAAAATTACGACATAACTGCTAAAAATAGATATAGCTTTAATTTTGTAAACAGTAAAGAAAAATAAGTTCGAAGTATTTTGGATTTCAAGTAAGCTCGTGTTGCTGCGTGAGGCTCCCGATATTTAAACACAACTCCATTCCGGATACTGTAGCTGGTTAAACTGTTCAGTTCAATTTGTATAAAATGCCCCGGCGACACTAACCACCTCTTTACATGCCTACTTACATATCAGCTCATCTAACATCCTTGGAGCTGCTCTTTTCCTGTGTCTACTGTTCGACCAGTTTCGCTCATCATGAGAATGAAGACAACATAGTCCGATTTAGGCAAAGTTTAGTAACCTGCTACAACAAAAACGAAAGTTAAAGATTTTCGTTCATCGTTTTCGTTTCATTTGAGCACTCATTATTTCTTATTTACCCACCGAATTTCCTCATCAGTAACTTGATTTTTTTTTTGTAACAGAACAGGTTTTAGTACAAATGCAAAAATTTGGCACAGAACCTGTTATTATTTTAATTAAAAATAAATAAAAAAAAACTGGAATGATTAATTAATTTGTCAGAAACTATCAGTCCTATCGGAAAGTGATATATATGTATGTATATATGGTTCATGGAGAATTTCATTACGAACGAAGAGAAATTAAAAATGCATGGTTTCCAAAAGGATGAAGGTATCTGTTATATTTCTTACCGTTTATATTCAAAGAAAGACAAATTTGCTAAATTTAAAAGAGGCACAGAAAACTCGATAATGACAAATTAATATATAATCTTTTATTTAACATCTACTCTTTCTGATTCATATTGAATTCGGCTTTGCTTTAAACAAGCGAAATATTGTATTCAAAGTTTGGCCAATAACTTTAAGAAAATCGATGCAAGAAGTTTTTTTCCTGTAAATTAAAAAATTAGATTTTGGTACATAAATAAACTAAGTATTCAAAAAATCAAGATTAAAAAAAACCGCCTAAAAATATTGAAAACGGTTGGGAAAAACCTAGTCAATCACCCTTATACTACTGCTTTTGCATTCGTCAGATAAAAAAAAAAAAAAAATACATATATAAATTTTAATTACATTTAACTGCATGATGACCGAGCAACCATGTCATGACATAACGTTGATGCTCTGTATGGAAAATTAATTAAATCAGTGGTAGACTTTTTGAAAAGTGAGATCCACTACAGGCACACATGGCAGGCAACCAAAAGCACAGCTGGAAGTCCCAAAAGTAA